AGTGATCAGCTAAGGAAGGAGAAGAAGACATAGGACGACATTTGGGGTGGGTAGGGTGGGGGATAGGGTAAAATTTTATTCTTAGGAACGAATGAGAATGGGTTTCTCAAAAAGAATTAATTTAAAGAAAGAATTCTAAAGAAAAATCTTCCCACTTTTCGTTATCGATCGATATCGATTTTATCGATTTTTTGCAAAATTTGAGCTACGGAACTGGGAGTTGGCACAGGGGGGTAATCGAGCATGCTGATCACCCCCGTAGGGGTGATCAGCATGCTCGATTACACCCCTCTGCCAAATTCCAGCCCCCTAGCTCAAGTTTTGCAAAAAATCGATAAAATCGATATCGATGACGAAAAGTAGCCTATGACACACGCCGGGGCCCGAAGTGTATGTGTGCCAAGTTTGGTTCGGATCGGTTCAGAGATGGAATTTTCTATTCGGAACATACGTACACACAGACATACATACATACATACATACATACAGACAAACAGACATTCAGCTTTATATATAAGATTACTAAAGATACAAAAACTAAACAATTGAGGTAGGGGGAGGGGAAGGGGTGTGTGTGAGTGTTCCTGATGGTCTCCAGTCCTCTCTTATATGCAGGTACGCCTTACAACAATAACAGCGGTTAGGGCGGTGTAAGACATTGCATAACAAGTGATGTGATGTTACTCAATATTACCCAATGTTATGCAATCTGATGAAATGACTCATGACACTGGGGCTTGCTAAAAAATTGAGTTGTGATGATTTCTTCCCGGTAACTAAAGGAATCGGAAACAAAAAAACACCTGTTAGAAAGAGGAGTAAATGCTGCATCGAATAGTTCGCGAGCTGCTCTTTTTTTGATGTTCTACAAGGATTTAGCTGCCCAAGTATGGAAATTGGTAACATCAGTTAAAATTCTGTTAAAAATGTATGACAAGCTATGGAAAAGAGAAAAAAGTAGTACTGTAGTCTACAAGGTTTGCTCTACGATTCCTTACTTGAACTCCTTCTGGGTATGGATATGAAAGTTTTGAAAAATTGTGAAACTTGACCATCTCAAAAAGCATGGGTCGCAGATTTTGGATATTTTATAAAAGCTCATTGACTGTTTTGCAAAGATTCATAACCATTAGAAAGAGAATGAAATGCTGCGTCAAATGCTACCGGAATTACGCATCTTTGTTCCACGAGATGTGGCATACGTCTGAAAAAAGCGACATTACTTTCGGAACGACCTAATATATTAGGTTGATGCAAAAATAATGAGCGTTTTTATTTGCTTGCTTTAACAAAGCAACCAGACTCAACCCAACAAAGGGTAAGGGGTACCGTTCGATAGAGCAAAGCAAGCTCTACAAGATGGCACTCATGTCTTTGCGCCATGCTCGATCTACGGGAGTTCGAACTCAAAATCTAAAGATTTTTAAATGCCCAAAAAACTGAAAAAAATCAGATCTTCGTCCAAATAATTTCTACGGACCTCCCACTCGCTCACATCAATACTATCAATATCTGATATCCACATGTGCGACGTCAATCAATGTCGTGTCCATCGTCCATCTTGTATTCGTATGAGATCCTATCACCTCGACTAGCCATCCTACGACGTCAGAAGACCATCAGCATTATCAACTGCTACTCTCCAACATCAGCAGCTGACGAATCAGAACTAGATGCTGTTACGAAGAAGTGAGGAAGGTCGTCCGCAGCAAGATTAACACGAAGATCGGGATGCCACTAAAAAGGAATATAG